GGGAGGGACAGACAGGAGGATTAGGAGTGGCAGGATTTGTTTGCAGGATGTGTACCTTTCTGATTTGGGGACTTGTGCCACCTGTGATCAATACCAAGTAGGATCGAATGACAAAGCTGACCTGCAAAGATTACAAGCCCATATTATAGAAGGCAGATTATAAGGAAACCGGGCACAGAGTGCTGCTTTATGCCGACAGCTGAAGGAACAAACAAGCTGACATAGCAGAACCATCTACAGACCAGAGTTAGGGAACCAGGACAGGGAAAACTGTCTTAGGGTAACACCTCTGTTGTATACTCATACATGCACACAAACATATGATGCACTTTCCCAATTGGATCACTGAAATTGTAAACAACTGTGTATGGTTAGAACATCTACTATTTCAGCTGCCTTGAATGTCTGGCAGTGTCTGGCAGGATATACAATTTGTGGTTTTTAATGTTCTTGTTTTTATCATTGCAAGGTTTTATTGTTTTAAATGGTTACATACTGCCATATAAATAGAATACATGCATGAAGTTTCCACTGCCTGTCACTGTTTAAACATTCTCATTTGGTGTTATCCATGTGCTCGGTACTTTCCAAAGGACAAGGGATAACTCCCTAGCCCAAAGGGATGCAATCTAAATATCAACACAGGGGAGAAAAAAGAAGGGGAAGGAAATTGTAGCTAGGGTAAATGGAGAAGATATATGGCTCATTTCCTACATGTAATGGCAAGGTGCAGGATTTGTGTATTGTGCCAAAAGCAAAGTAGAAGCAAGTAAATGTTGTAATTCAGATTATCTCCCCATCCTCTGTTCTTGTTCCCAGGTTGCCAAGGTCATGCCAAATACTACCTTTTACTTTGCCATCCTCCGGAATCCTGCTGATCTCATGGAATCTTCATTCACATATTACAAACTGACGTCTCCCTTCAGCAAAGCCAGGAACTTGGAGGATTTCCTCTACCACACTTCCCAGTTTTACAATGCCTCAGCCAGGGACAGCCATTATGCCAAAAACCTGATGACTTTCGATTTTGGATATAACCACAATGGAAACTTCTCAGCAAAGCACATCCAATTCATACTGAGCTCCATTGAAGCACAATTTGACCTCCTCCTGATCTCAGAGTACTTTGATGAGTCTATGGTGCTGCTGAAGAAGGCTTTATGCTGGGACTTGGAAGATGTGGTCTCTTTTCCCCTCAACAGCAGACATAACAGCACTAAGGTCCATATTTCAGAAAGCACCGCAGAAAAGCTAAAGAGCTGGAATCATCTAGACTGGGAGCTTTACATGCATTTCAACAGGACCTTCTGGGAGAAGGTAGACTTGCACATTGGCAGGGAGCACTTGTGGCAGGAAGTGAGGGCCCTGCAGCAGAAGCGGAAAGAGCTGGCAAAGGTATGCCTTCAAGAAGGAGGAAGTGTCGTCCCAAAGAACATTAGGGACCAGAGATTGGCACCACTGCAGTATGGCAAGGCAACAGTCCTAGGCTATAACTTGAAGTCTGGGATGGATAAGGCAACAAGGCAGAGGTGCCAGCGCTTGGTGACTCCTGAACTTCAATACAGTAAGCTCCTGTATAGAAAACAGTTCCCTAAGAAGGCTCTGAAGTTCATCAATCTAGCTCACTCGCCAAAGCTGCTTCCTAAAAGCAACAGAACTAGGGTGCCATCCTGAAAGAGCAGTTACAAAACAGACTGACACCCTGTGCAAGTCTTCCGTTCACCTATGACCAGATCCCTTAAAATAGATGTTTTGATCCCGAAACCACAGTCCACATTTGCATGTGCCTTCTGCCCTCCATCCATAAGCACCCAGCCAAATAGCTGCAGTTTAAACAGCAGTTTAAATGGAGATATTAGGAGTAACCAAGCAACCATCCACAGCAAGTTGGACTTGCACATAAATCTACTTGATGGTTGGACTCTGAAGTCCTGAAGCCAGGGAGGGAAGAGATTTCTAAACAATATTTTCCCCCTTCCACTCTGCCCAGTCCTGACTTTATACTTGAACTGCCGGATTGAGTTACCTAATTATCTTTGGAACAGTACCTTACAGCATGTCTTACGTGGTTTATAATGTAACAAGAAATTGATCTGTACTGATTTCTGTATGATGGACAAGAAAGGCAAGCGTGGTAGACCTGGAATGATGACAGGAAGAAGCCAGCAGCCTTTACTTTAAAAGAACTGGTGCCTCGCAGGAGAAGCATAACCTAGCCCTAGTCAAGGGACAGAGATGCAGCAAAAGTCTAGCCATCCTCTGTGTCTGTAATTCTTGTTCCCAGCTACCTATTTCTGGTGGCTGGTTAAATACCTCAAATGCTGCTGAAGGAGTTGAGCACTGCTACTTGCAAAGGGGGCAATGCTGTTCTGATTACTACTGGCAGAATCTGACATGATGCCTCTTCTGGACACTGCCAATATGAGCACAAGTTTGCCTTCCCTAATTATGATAGCCTTTCTTGAAAAGAAACACCAGCAGATAGAAGAATGAAAGCTCCACCAATTTCAATAGGACAGAGTTAAGTTTGATTTCTCTGGACTGCAACCCAATCCTATGCATGTCAGTTCAGAGAGAGGAAGTGAAAGATTCACAGGCATTCAATCTCCAAGTAAAAGAGTTTAGGATTGTAGCCTTATGTATAACTAAGCATGACTCAGAAGTCATTCCCAGTAAGTTCAAGAGGACTCACTCCCAGCTACCCACATAAGACAGTAGCCTCACTGCTCAGTTTTAGTTATATGACACTTCAACCAGTCTTGTCCATCTTGGCACTCTCCAAATGCATTAGCCTACATAATGACTGGGAATGATGGGAGTTGTATTCCAATACATCCGGAAGGTGTTAGAATGGGAAAGAATGACCTAAGCAATGGATTGGAGGACGGAGACGTACAATAGCATAAGGCTCTTAAATGTGGTTTGCAGATGTAGATGTAGCTCTTAAGGTTGTTTGAAGAAACCTTCACATTACTCCACGTTTGCAGAGACATTTGTGCTTTCACCAGAGACTTATTCAGATGAGCTGATAAGTAGCACACACAGTTATGAGTTATGCTTGGAATACTTTGAATGGCATTATATTTATTATCCACTGTACTCAAGGGTTTGGTATAAAATTATTCAAAGTAAATTAGACACAATACAGATGCAAAGGGCAGGTTCTACTTTGCCAAGACTGCAGCCCTATACCGATTCACCTATGACTAATCCCATTGAACTCAGTTTATAGTAGATAGGCATAAGATTGTACAGGCAGTGCTAACATTCCTCATACTTCTGTCATGGAGATTTGCTAAATTTATGCCCAGTTCTGCTGCTTATTACTCTTCAAGGTCACACACTATCAATCTGTTTTCTAGAGCTTTGAAAACTGTAATGATATTGAATAAAAGATGAAGTTCTCAATCTTACTGACAAAATTCAAAGTTAATAAATCACCAGGCATGGTTGGTATCTGTACTAGAGTTTTTAAAGAACACAAATATGAATTGCTGGTTTTCTAATGGAATGGTGTAACATCCCTCTAAGAACAGAACAGAATAAATCTACCAATACACTACTCCCTTTATACAAATATATGGTGCAGACTTAGAATATTGTGTACAGTTGTGGTCACCACAGCTAAGAGTTGTGGCAGAAGAGGGGCTGAAGCAATTCCCCTATTGCGTCAACTTCCTGGATTGTTTAGCTTAGAAAAAAGGGCAACTAAGGGAAGACATAAGAGTAGTTTACAGAGGTTTTGTATTATGCAGAGAAGGTGACAAACATTTTCTTCTCTCATATTACTAGAACCTGGAGCCATCCCTGAATCTGAGTGGTGGGAGATTCCACACAGTGCCTAGCTCTGCTATGCAATTCACTTCCACAAGGTACAGTGATGGCTCCCAGTTTGGACTGCTTTTAAAAGGGACTAGAGGGCACTGTTATCAGT